CGTGGTTGACTACATGGGAGTCCAGCGACATAGCCATTACGCTAACTGCTGGTTCTCTCTCTCTCTTTCTCATGGAAAAAATAAATAAATAAATATTTAAAAATACTTTATGATTAAATATTTGGCTGCTTATGGCCATTCTAACATTAATAACCCAGACAGAAACACAGAATAGCTAGTGACTTCCATTTGCACTTTTCTTTATACCCCTTTACCTTGGGCTTCCCTGCTCTGGTTTCTCCCAGGCCTGTACCAGACCCGCTGCAGTCTTTGTAGATACTACTTAGCCCAAGGGATAGCACTCAAAGTACTAAGCTTAAGGCAGTCTAACTCCCTGCCCTCCAGCCTTACCTGTGAAAAGTTCAGGGGCCATATGGATCGGTGTCCCCACAATGCTGCCTGACATCATGGCTTCTGGCTTGCAGAATCCTAAGTCAGTGATCTTGGCCCGGTTCTGCTTGTCTAGCTGCCAACAAAGTGGGGCAAGATAAATTACCCTGTCTCAGATCCGGTACACCACACTCAGCTGCATACCCAAGCTCAAAGGCAGGTGCCTCAAAGCAGCTCAAAGTCGTACTTTTAATAACCTTGCCTCCCACCTCCCTGTCTCTGGACTCACTCGTATTACTGTCTTTCTCCCCATCGGTGAGCAGCCTGATGGCAGGTATTTTCCTTTGTATCTCTGTATCCCTAGCACTTAGCATAGTAACTAGCACATATCAAGATCTTTCTCCTTTTTTTAAGACATTTTTGCCTTAGGACGGAACTGTTATACTATCTGCTGGCCCCAAGATCTTAATAAATATTGGGAGAATGAATAAACAAAGGTCTATGGAAGGACACTGAGAACAGCATTTCAGCTTCTGATTGTCCTCCTGACTCAAGGGCAGAAAGCTGATTAAGAAAGTCGAGGTCCTGTGATCAGCTGAGGAGAGTTTTCTAAATTCCCTATAATTCCATTCCCAAAGGTACAAGAAAATAAATCTGCCCCATTTGGCTACTGATCAGCCTTTTAGATTATAGCCTACAACTTTTCTTCCCCTCAACTTCTATCATCTTTATACATCTTCGAGCGTTGCCAGAAATACCTCAGTGATACTCCAACATATTTTAAAGAGGAGGGTATCAAGAGATTCTTCACAAGACTCCTCAAAAGTCTGATAAAAGTAGTGAGGCTGTGGTGAAAAGGGAATCCTCTTACACTGTTGGTGGGAATGTAAATTAATACAACTTCAGTGGAAAAATAATATGGACAGTCCTCAAAAACCTACAGTTAGCATTACCATATGACCCAATAAAACCACTCCTTGGTATTTACCCAAAGGATAGGAAAACACTTACTTGGGCATTCATGTTTATTGCAACATTATTCACAATTATTAGGATGTGGAATCAACCTGTGTCCAAAAACTGATGACTGGGTCAAGAAACTATGGCACATATATACTACAGAATACTACTTAGCCATAAAAAATACAATGAGCGGGACCAGCAGATGGCATAGTGGCTATGTCGCTGCACTCCCACATGGCTGACTGCAGTCTGAGTCTTGGACCTGGTAGCTTGAAAATCACGCTGAGCACATGTGCATGCACGCCCAAAATCCCTGAGAAGAGGATGGAGGAGAAGGGGTTGCGGTGTGGCCATCCCCCCAGGGGGTGATTTCTTGCTTTCTGTCCTTCTGTCTCTCCTATGAATGCATAAGCCCTGTAGCAAAAATCTCTCTCTAAAAAGAAAAAAGCCCTATCATCTGATTCAAAGTGGACATAGAGGACTTAAGGTTGAGTGAAGAGAGCCAGACTTTGAAAGGGACACTTATATATTTCCATTTAATATGTACCAACTGTCTGCATTTTATGTCAGAAATTAAAGGATCTGAAGATAGACAGTAGAGAGGATAAGTACAGAGACCAGAAACTGTATGGGAAGGGAGTGGGTGGTACAGAGTGGGTGGAAGGGGCAAAGGAAAGAAACAGTTTTTAAAAATAATTGTTTAATTCCATTTGTTATTATTATTATTTTAAAATTTGACCAGCAACAGAGAGAGAAAGGAAAAGCGAGAAAGCAAGCCACCAGGTTTGAGACTTGAACCGTGGTCAGCCATGTGGGAGTCCAGCACCTTAACCACCATGCCACCTGCTGGCTCCAGGAAAGAAATATTTAACAGACAAAATAATGTAAAGTTCTCTGCTGGGAAGAAAAACACACACATTTTATAATTCTTGCTTTATAAAAAAAACATAATTTTTTAAAATAATTATTTTAGTTTACTTATTTTTTATTAATTTGATCAAAGGGACACAGAGAGAGGGAGAGAAAGAGAAGGAAAGTGATAAAGCAAGCTGCCAGGTCCAGGGCTTGATTTGAGGTCAGTTATGTGGGAGTTCAGTGCCTTAACCACCATGCCACTTGCTGGCCCCCATAAATATTTTTAAAACTGTGATAAAAGCGGGACCAGAGAATGGCATAATAGTTATGTTGCTGGAATCCCAAGTAGTCAACTGCAGTTCGAGTCCCGGACCCTGCAGCTTAAAAACTCATGCCGGGTGCATGTGTATGTGTGCCCAAAAGATTCCGAGAGGAGACTAGAGGAGAAGGGATTGTGGCGTGATCATTCCCCCTGGAGGGTGATTTCTTGCTTTCTGTCTCTGTGTCTCTGTGTCTCTGGCAAGCACATGCATCCTTATCGCAAAAGATTCTCTCTCAAAAAAAATGACATAAATTGTGATAAAAGAAAAAAAAAGGCAGAGATTATTCTAAATTAAAAGTGACTAAAGAAACATAACAATACGATGCACTGTATTATTCCTGGATGGGATTCTAGGTAAAATAAATAGACCATTTAGGGGATATCTGGATAGATTTGGGATAACTGAAAAATATTAATATTGATAATATATTAAATATTATAGCCATGTTAATTTTCTTGAGTGTAATAGTTATTTTTTAGTTGTTTGCCACTAGGTGCATGTACTTGCCAGAGAGAGACAGAGAGAAATGAGAAATCAACTCCCCCAGGGGGCATGGCCATGCCTCAGTTCCTTCTCCTCTAGTCTCCTCTTGGGATTTTAGGTACACATGCACATGTGCCCAGGCACTGCATCTGAGACTCAAACCAGAGTTGGTCATGTGGGAATACAGAGCCTTAACCACCATCCCACCTGCTGGTCCAGTAATAACTTTTTTTTAAGAATTATTTTATATTAATTCATTAATTAAATGAATTTGAGCAGAGAGAGACAGAGTGAAAGAGAGAGAAAGTGAGAAAGCAAGCCACCAGGTCTGGGCCTCGAATCGTGGTCAGCCATGTGGGAATCCAGCATCCTTAACCACCACACCATCTGCCAGCCCCATGACTTTTTTTTAAAGGATTATTTTATTTATTTACTTTAATTTGACCAGAGGGAGACAGAGAGAGAGAAAAAGTGAGAAAGCGAGCTGCTGGGTCCACGACTCAAACCGTGGTCGGCCATGTGGGAGTCTAGCACCCGTAACCACCACGCCACCTGCCAGCCCCCCCATGACATTTTAATGATGTACAAAAATGTCCTTTTCCTTGGGAGATACATGCTTAAGTATTTAGAAATGAAGTGTTGTCTGCAAATTACTTTCATATATTGTGATTCAGTAAAACAATGCGTCTGTGTGTGAACTATGTACAGGGAGAAAGAGAAGAAGGCAAGAGTGTGAATGGACACGCTGGGAGAAATGCAGAATATGAATCTAGGTGAAGAATATAAGGGTCTTCACTGTATCACTCTTAACTTTTCTGTAAGTTAAGTTTTTTAAAACATTGTAGGGAGAGGGGTTGGCAAGTGGTATGGTGGTTGAGGTGCTGGACTCCCACATGGCTGACCATGGTTCAAGTCCTGGACCGGGCAGCTTTCTTTCTCTCTCTCTCTGGTCAAATGGAAGAATAATAATAAATAAATAAAATAATTCTTTAAAAAAACTGTAGGGAGAAAAATATTTTGTTTTAAAAGATATTTTTAAGAATTATCTTTTTTTTGGGGGGGGAACCAGCAGTTAGCGTAATGGCCATGTCGCTGGACTCCCACGTAGTCGACCGCGGTTTGCGTCCCGGACCCGGTGGCTTAAAACCTACACTGGGCGTGTGTGCGAGCGTGCCCAAGATCCTGAGAGGAGAATGGAGGAGAAGGGATTGTGGGGTGGCCATCCCCTCTGGGGGGTGATTTCTCGCTTTCTGCCTCTCTGACTCGGTCTGGCGAGCGCACGCACCCTATAGTGAAAAACCTCTCAGAAAAAAAAAAAGAATTACCTTTTTAAACTTTATTTATTTATTATTATTGTTTTTTAATTTGACGAGGAGATAGAGAGAAGGAAAGTGAGAAAGCGATCTGCCAGGTCTGGGACTCGAACCATGGTTGGCCATGTGAGAGTCCAATTCCTTTAACCACCATGCCACCTGCTGGCCCTGTAGGGAGAAAAATCTTAAGGAGTATGTTTGGTCTATGATGACTCTGTTCCCTAAGTTTTAAGTCCAAGATACCTTCCATCCCCTATTCACTCTACTACTCTTCCTCTCAACTTTTCCTAGCATCAAACTTACATTGTCATGTACCTTTCAAAAGCCGCTTAACCCACAGAGGCAGGGCACCATCTTGGGGAGACAGCTCTTACTTACCAGCACATTTTTCAGTTTGATATCACGATGAACAAGCCCCTGGCTGTGAAGGAAGCGGACGCCCTCCACCACATCAAGTGCTATCTGCAAACGTGTCTCCAGGGTCAGTCCAGCCTTGGGGAGATAAAAGATCTTACTTGTCACAAATAGGACAAGTCCTCAATCCAACTTGCTTAAGCCAACTGGGACTTGCTTCTGTGGGGAACTAAAGGACTGACTGCACCCCAATACACAAAGACAGAAAAGTGAATGGGGAAAAAAGGGAAGAGGAAAACAGAGAGAGAAGAGCAAATGAGGAAGAGCAAGCTGTAAAGAAGACAAAGTCAGACAAAGTCCCCTGTAGGCCACAGTCAAGTCAGCTGGACAACCCAGCTGTGCCGAGGAGAGGTGACAGAAGGTATGAGCTCATTTCTAACCTCTGAGCAAACTGCAACTGCCCTTGAGGCTCAAAGTAAGAATTTCTGGGTGCTTCAGGCAGATTTACTCCTTACTCCCATGGCTTTGCAGACCTGGTTGGCCCAGGATTGGTTTTATGGATTCAAATGCCAAAATCACTCACATTACTTCAACTTAGAGTCTCCTGAATTCTGGGAAATGTCTATAGTTTACTCATCCAAAAGCTCAGAGAGGTTCTGGTGCCCACTGTGCAGCTGCATCAGACAGTACTGAGCTTAACTCTGAGAGGAAGGGCATTTTAGCCCCTAGCGGTGCTTAACACAGGGCTTTGTACAAAGTCTTCTCTAATAGATAACTTATTGATGAAACAACAAAAGCTGGCCTTATCCACGGACAGCAAAAAAGAGCAGAGTTTCATGAAGGTTTTCTGCTCTTCTGGAGACTGTAGTTTCACCACTACCACAGGAGGCCAAAGCAGTGAATTCAGTTTATATACAGGGCAAAAAATAGGTTCTGCAGAGTTTTCAGGGTTTTTTGGAAAGAACTGCGATAAAGGCTGATTACTAAAATGATCTCCTATGAGAGGTAGAGGCTGTGAATAAACAGGAAAAGCTGAAAAGTCAGAATGGAACCTGCGGATCTGGGTGCCAGCTGGACCGCGCTCCCACCTTGCCTCACCTCACCTTCAGCCCCGTGTAGAGGTCGCGGTGGAGACGCTCCATGATGAGGAGCACGGCGATGCTGGAGCCACCGCCGTAGTTGTAGTCAATGACTGAGCCGTGGAGATCCACCAGGCGCTCATGCTTTGGCAGAGACCTGAAGGGGAGGACAGAGGTCTGGGCTGCATTTGGGCTCTAATCCTGCATGATTTACCATAATCCAGGACAGAACGGCCACAAGGCTGTGCTTCGGGTCCAAAAGTAATAATCCACCCTCAGTACACACAGAGAGCAAAGAAAAAGTCCTCTCCAAACAGAACAAATAACAGAAACCAGATAAGCCTTAATGACTGTCTTAGTCTGCTATTGTGTTGCTAAGAGAAGCTCCTGAGACTGGATGATTTTAAAATGCAGAGGTTTATTCAAAGGTTTGGAGGTCCAAGGTCCCATGCTGTCTGTATCTGGATAGGGTTTTACAGAGTCCAATCATATCCTGAGGGAGAGAGCGGAGCAGAGTGGCTGTCCATGAGTCCCTCTGTCCTGATCTCATTCCCTCTGCTTATAAACCCACTAGAAGTCGATCCTGGGGACCCACCCTAACCTTAATCATAACCTCTTCCCAAGAGCTCCACCTTTCAACACCACAATTGAATCAAAATTTCACGGTCTTAATACCATTACAATGGTGCAACACATAAATATCTGAGGACCATATTCTAACTATAGCAATGACTAAGGAAGAAAGGCAACTGGACCACTGAGCCTGAGAAATTAGGATGGTGGGGAAATAACAAGCAAAGACATTAAGGCCTTGAAGAGAGCACATGCCAGGGCTGGCACGTGGCATAGTGATTAAGGATGCTAATCGTTTCGAGTTCTGGACTTGGCGGCTTGCTTTCTCACTTTCCCTCTCTCTCTCTCTGTCCCTCTCTAGTCAAATAAAAACAAATAAATAAATAAAGTTAAATAAAATATTTCTTTTAAAAAAATAGAGAGAACACATGTCAGGGCCAGCAGGTGGCCTGGTAGCGAAAGTGCTGGACTCCCACATGGCTAACCACCATTCAAGTCCCAGACCTGGCAGCTTGAAAATCACACCTGGTGTATGCTCAAAATCTCGAGAGAACAATGGAGGACAAGGAATTGAAGCATGGCCATTCCCCTGGGGGTGATTTCTCCCTTTCCCTCTTTCTGTCTCTCTCTGGTGAGTGTATGCACCCTATAGCAAAAAAAAAAAGTTCTGTAAGATGGAGGATGAAGGGGCATTTTCTAGGCAACTTGGACAGATTGGGAGGAGAGGTCCTTCCAGTAAGGAAGCTAAGGTCTGAGGTGGATAAGAACCCCTGACCATAGCAATGCCTATGGCCTCACTCCAATGGAAGCCTCGCTGCTGGGAATGAGGACAGCACTCAGGGAAGCTATTCCTTGCCACATGAGGCTATCGGTGGGTCACAGGCACCAGCAGTTCAGGCTGGAAGTAATCTGGAGGGAAGAAAGGGCAGAAGAACCCCCAAGGCCAAGTGCTCGGGCTGCAGAACTGAGATCACCCTAGAGCCTGCAGGAGTTAGAGGAGCAAGGCAGGGCAGAGGGCTGGTGGGAGGCCGGCACTTCACCTGGGCCTATAGGGACTGACCATGAGTGGTCAGGCGGGAGGGACACTGGCAGGGAGAAGCCAGCCCAAGCCCTGTGGTGTCTCCACGTGGCTCCTGTGTGTGTGCAGGCATCATGCCCACGCTCAGTGCTTTCTTGGTTGGGACAGCCCCGGCTGCAGCTGCTCACTCATCTCATCCCTCATCATCTCACATCCTTTCAACATTTGCCACCTCCCAGCCCAACCCAGGGGCCAGGCCAGAGTCCCTGCTCAGCCCCGTGTGCTTTCCCCTCCTGCAGGATGACATGCACAGGGTCATTGACCGGCAGCTGATGGACACACACCTGAAGGAACGGAGCCGGGCTGCTGCCGCCC